AGATTGTATTGACTGTCAAGAAAAAATTGTGGGCCTTAGCCAGGTAAGACTGGTGATGGAATGACAGCCAAAAGAGGGCACGTGTCCCAGAGGATGACCACCGTGGTTGGTGATGAAGCAATGACATCAGCTCATGTACTACAGGAGTGAGATGGATTGTAGCAATGCAGTAGACCCATAGCCGTCACCCCATACGGTTTACCCGTATTCTTCTACAGGGAAATTGAGTTTTCAGGTCAATACGGCGTACAGCCGTCTAAATACGGGCAAAACATGTTTTTTTTTGTCTATTTGTTTGTGTTTCTCCCTTGTGACGGGACTCTATAGGATGAACTTTGAGATGTATAAGGGCACGGGGTGACCAATGAGGTCTGCATTGCTCTGTAATAAGATAGGGGCACTGATAAGGGGTTGACAGGGATGTAGACCCGTGAGGAATTACAGCAGCATGGAGAGAGGCCTGAGTCGATCATGATGTATGTACTTTCATGTATAAATTATGCTGTATTGAGTTACTGACAACTGCAGGATCTTTGCACGCGTACATCTGTCAAGAGTGTTAACGGAGGGGCTCAAATTCTACCAAAACACCACGCAGTGAAACCCATTTGCCGTACAGTGAAGGAACCATTCACAATGGTGATTGTGTCAATCGCCACAATCATCAGCGATGATGAATCCACTGTTGGATGAAGGCCCTTCCCCCAAGCTGGTGCCAGTGTCCATAGTTGTGTCAAAAAGCCAGAAGGTAACTGTATGCACACGTTGTTATGAATGTGCATTAGTGGGTGTTACAATAAAGGTGACATTTTCCATTCCATGAGTTTGGAAAAGGTGCACATTGCCTGAGCCAGTTCCGTGAAATTCCACATTACTATGACGGGGGTGATAAAAACGCATTAGACAGCCACCAGGAAAGCCGTGGGCTGGCAATCAGCACAAAAGGGAGACACCCGTGCCATCTCACGACTCACACAGGGCAGCACTAATATCTCCCTAGATTTGAAGCTTTCGTGACTGCAAGGATTCATACTCTTAGTTTTTTTCGGTAAAGTCACGTAGGTAAAATAAAAAAATTTAAATATAAAAAAAGAAAAAAAAATACGTTTTATTTATTCTTTTATTTCTATTATTTTTTTACCTACGTGACTTTACCGAAAAACCTAAGAGTATTATAATATCTCCCTGTCAGCCCAGATCCACTTGATGGGCACGTCAAATTGCCGTGTGCGGAGCCAGTTACAACTTCACTGCGTGTGCTGAATAATAGGAGGGAGCGATGACCCCCAGCGGGTCACGAACTGCACTTTGACCCCCCCCCCTGCCACGGCTGGCACCATAACCTTGCCTATGTACCCATCGTATTCTAGTAGCGTGTCTTCATCCAGCAGAGGATTGACCATGGCTGACGATGATGCTGATGACACAAAGATCCTTAACAGACTTGTTGGTGGGGGGTTGTGGGCCAGGTGGTTGTCAAGTTCAACTTTCAAGTTCATTTAATAGGTATAGCCCTGTGAGCCATTCGGCTCTTGAACAAGAAAACATCTTAAAGTGACTATGTGTAAACAAAAAATCCAAGAAAAGACTGCAAAATATTGCAGAAAAAGCACCGTACACCAACACTGTGTGCAAAAAAAAATCCCAGTGGGATGCAAGCAAACACCTCCGAAGGGCGGCACGGCACACAACGCCCGGGCCGCCTTTGTCTCTCCCGGTGCCGAGTCGACGGACAGGCTCGTGGTGTTGGTCAACTTGGTGGTGTTGGCCGCGGGCTCGTGAATCGCGTCGACCCCACAAAGACGAAGACGCGCGGCCGTCGTGGACTGCACGGCCGCTGTGACCCGCTGGGTGTCAACTGGTGAAGCAGCGACGTGAACAGCGTTAAAGGGGGGTGAGACGTGAGAGAGCGAGGAATCGAATGAGAACCTCGAGCGCAAACACCGCGGGGAGCTGGTAGACATATAGAGATGAGAGAGAGATGAGAGAGAGATGAGAGAGAGGGGAGAGAGAAGGGAGAGCGAACGCAGCGACGCGAGGCGGAATAACTCACGCGGCGAGACGGCGACAACAACATGGACGAGACCGGAAGTGGGGCCGGGGCAGCGGTGGAGGTCGTTGCCAGCTCAGAGGGAGTTTCCCTTCCTCTGTCCACTTACACGCTTTTTATTATTATTTATACGTTTTTTATTATTATTATTTATAAGTTTTTGTTATTATTATTATTTACACGATTTTTGTTATTTACACGCTTTTTGTTATTATTATTATTTACACGCTTTTTGTTATTATTATTATTTACACGCGTTTTGTTATTTACACGCTTTTTATTATTATTATTTACACGCTTTTTGTTATTATTATTTACACGCTTTTTGTTATTATTATTATTTACACGCGTTTTGTTATTTACACGCTTTTTATTATTATTATTTACACGCTTTTTATTATTATTATTATTACACGCGTTTTGTTATTTACACGGTTTTTGTTATTTACACGCTTTTTGAATTTCGATTTAAATCTTTCGTGACTGCAGGGATTCATCTTCTTGGTTCTTTCGATAAAGTCACGTAGAAGGGAAATAATAAAATAATAAAAATAAACATTAATATTTTATTAACATCATATTTTATTTTTTATTTCCCTTCTACGTGACTTTACACGCTTTTTGTTATTTACACGCTTTTTATTATTACACGCTTTTTATTAACTCACTCTGTCTGTTGTCGTATCCTCAAATATTGTAACTCAATTTTAACCCACTTCCCAATGTGGTATCGACTGCAAACTTGGTATACTTATGTCATACTGATGACAATACTATATTCTATCATTAAACATTTTAAAAATAATATATATTTTAAAAAAATCCATTACTAGTACGGTATATTTCATTAAAAGCGTGTTTTAAAAAAAGTTTTTTTTCAAACTATGACTTATTCAATGTATAAATGATAATGAGTAATGATAAAGAAGGAGAGTGAACGTCGCATTCGTCTCGTTCGTTCTTTCGTACGGCTGACGGGAGGTGGGGGATGCAGAGTGGCAACTACATTAACACGATGTAACACAATTCTTGTTCCTGGTAGTAAGTGTTATTTACTAATGGCTTATGCCTCATAAGTACAGAAAGTGGCTGTTATTCCCCACAAACTTTTGTGACCAGGACAGTGAGTGATATTTTGAAATTTACCTATTTTCAATGAGAAAACGGGCGAATTTGTGTCTTTTCGTTCACATGAAGCCATAGGAAAAAAACACATGAATAAAAATGAACATGAATTTATACTAAAGTAATACAAAAATTACGACAAAAGATTTAGAAGTGAGTACGTTTTTCTAGATTGTTCCTCCCCACAGAGAACTCGTTCCACTGTGGCCAGTCCCACCTGTGGTCGTGCGCCTTGGTGTCTAAATCTTTGTAGTCTTTTTGTTATCTTACTTTAGTACAATACAAACATGTTGATTTTGATTCATATGTTGTTTTCTCTGACTTTATGTGAACGAAAAGACACAAATTCGCCCGTTTTCTCATTGAAAATACGTAAATTTCAAAATATCACTGTCCTGGTCACAAAAACAAAGTTTGTGGGGGAATAACAGCCATTTTCTGTACTGAGGCATTGGCAATTAGGAAATAACACTACCCAGGATAAAAAAAAATGTGTTCCACAGTGTGATCTCACACGCGAGGTGGCCGAGCGGGATAACCGCGTCGGAGTTGCAGTTGCGTCGTCGTTAAACGTTGTTGGTACGGTCTGCTCTGGGTATGACCACACTACTCAGAAATGATTTAATTTTCCAACTCTGCATCAGGTATCCGCATCTACCGCCATGGTTTGTGCGGTGGATGCGGTTTAGGCTGCACCATGAGCTTCGTGGAAGATCAAAACCAGCGATGCTCTGCTTCGAGGCACACTACTGATGTACATTAAGCGTGGTCCATATTTCTTGTGACCCCCCCCCCTCCCAATTAATTGGCCACTAACATTTTTGTTCTTTTAAATCAGGGGTGGGGAACGTCCGGCTTGCGGGCCGTGTAAGGTCCGCGAAATTATTTGGTGTGGCCCTGTCAAGGCAACCGCAGGCGGGACTCGAAATTCAATAAATCTAGGAGCAAACCTGGAAAAGCAGTTGCGAGTAGCAACATCATCAATACCAGCTAACATCACACGCCTCGCCAAAGAGAAGCAGTTACAGCCATCGCATTAGGGGTGAGTTCATTAAATGTTTGACCAAATATAACGGGCTGATTTTTAAGTTGATCATTTGGTTAGGCCCGCGAATGATGTTATAAATATCCAAATGGCCCTTGGTAAGAAAAAAGGTTCCACACCTCTGATTTAGATATTCATTTCTGTTCCTTTGCATAGTCATTTCTGTTTTACATAAACCTTACTTTAAAAAAATATTTACTAAGTTTTAGGGAATTAAATGTGGGTCACAAGACAACTGGACCACCATGTCCAACCAACCCACTTGCTTGGTGCGGTGATCTCAAAGGAACTTTGGTGCGAACTCGACACGCGCAAAAACATTGACACGCGGTTCACATTCTCAGTGTGATCATCAAAGTGGGGTACGTTCAATACTCAATGAGTACTGTGGGGCCGTCCATAAATGACGTCACGCGATTATGGACGATTTTTGACCCCCCCCCTTCGTCACACAAAACGTCGGACCATCCCTCAAATATGACGTCACAAAGCTCTGCCCCTCCCCCCCAAAAAAATATAAAACATGCTTCAAATTATTGTCATTGTAGTGCGTATTTAATGTGGCGCTGCACTCTGATGTTGTAGGAGAAAACATTTATTAAAAAGTGTATAAAATTTTCGATTTATTTAATTAATATATTTAATTAAGTAGAACGTGTTGTCTATATTTATTTAAAGTTGCGCATTTTGATGTGACGTCACATTTCTCACCCCCCCCCCACGTCACAAATGTCTGACCCCCCCCCCCCCAGGTGCGTGACGTCATTTATGGACGGCCCCTAATCAACGTGCGTTTTAATAGTATTTGGCTGCTATGCGATAAGCCACTTCGTTGAGCCTGACACATTTGTGGTCGGGAGTCGCTTCTGAAAAAGGAGCCGCATTGACTCAGCGGGCCTTTAACCTGCTAACATTCAACGTAGTTTTGTTCATTTTACTAATGCCAGCTTAGCTGAGCTACATTACCTCGCCTGGTGAAACTAGACGTAGCTTAATCACCGCAGAATGGTTTACTGGGGCCGGTTGCATTGCTCCCTACGCAGCATGGCGCCCGAGGAGGGGCCGGGCAGCGGAACAGCGTCTGGGCGGGCGAGAGGCTTCCTCCTCCTCCTCCTGCCCCCTGCCGCCACTACCACCCAACCACGCAGTGCGCACAGAAGCAGCAGCAGCAGCACGGTGCCTCTCCTTTGAGGGAGGGTGGGTGAGTGAGCGGGTGAGTGAGTCAGTGGGTGGGTGAGTGGGTGAGTGAGTGAGTCAGTGGGTGGGTGAGTGAGTGAGTCAGTGGGTGGGTGAGTGAGTCAGTGGGTGAGTGGGTGGGTGAGTGAGTCAGTGGGTGGGTGAGTGAGTCAGTGGGTGGGTGGTTGAGTGAGTGGGTGAGTGAATGAGTGGGTGAGTGAGTGAGTGGGTGAGTGGGTGAGTGAGTGGGTGGGTGGGTGAGTGAGTGAGTGGGTGAGTGGGTGGGTGGGTGGGTGAGTGGGTGGGTGAGTGAGTGGGTGAGTCAGTGGGTGAGTGGGTGGGTGAGTGGGTGGGTGAGTGAGTGAGTGAGTGGGTGAGTGAGTGTGTGAGTGTGTGAGTGAGTGGGTGAGTGAGACAGTGGGTGGGTGGGTGAGTGGGTGGGTGAGTGAGTGAGCGAGCGAGCGGGGTTGAACCTGTCAAGTCAGTCAAGTCGTCTTGGTCACGCTGTCATGTTGACACCGTCCCGGGGTGTCTCTTCCCTGGACCTCGTCTTGCCAGCAGCAGCAGCAGAGAGCCCCCTCCACACTTCACGTGACGGCCTCAGGGTGTACCGAGCCTGGCACAAAACCTCGTGTTGACGTCGCCGGCTGTGTTACTGTTGTTGAAGAATGTGCGAGTCGGTGGGTGGGCGGGTGGGAGAATGAGTAAGTGGTTGGGGTGAAGGAGCTGAGTGGGAGGGTTGTGTTGGATGAATGAGTGGGTGGTGAGTGACTAAATGATTGTGACATAGACAGCTGCCGCACCTGGGGTGCAGCGTCTTCACCTGGAGATGTCAAGCCCTGATCTTCCCGTCGAGGTAATTGCTGCACCAGACATTTATGCAGTCTATCTTGGCAGGATTTTATACATGTTGCGAGTCTTAACCGATGTGGGAATGTGTATGTATTTATGTTTTTTTCTGTTCTTTTGCTAATGTTTGCCAATGGGGAAGACCATTCACGTCAATTTGAAACTGGTTGATGTCATATTCTTGGTTCTTTCGGTAAAGTCACCTGAGGACGGCTGCTTGCGTTGTGGCCGAAACGTCGTGAGAATTTCATTTTATTATGTTTTATTTGTATTATTTTATTATTTCCCTTCTACGTGACTTCACCGAAAGAACCAATAATATGAATCCCTGCAGTCACGAAAGCTTTAAATCTAAACTGGTTGATGTCACCTTCAAATCTTCCTCTGTGCTTTTTTTTTCTCCCACGGCACTGCAGCAAATGTAGCTCAGTGCCCGACTCCTGTACCACAGTCAAGTCAATTCTCTCTGCTCGTTCTCCACCCTGAAGAAGGGGCTTTTCCTGAAACGTTAGCCAATTGTGTATGTCCCATTGGGCAGCGTGAACGTTACGTAAAAAGCAAATCGTAATAGTAGAACCTGACGATACTGCGCTATCCACTGTTCTCGGTGGAGGTAAGTTATCAGTCAGCAGTTGCCCTCGGGAGATACCTTTCCTTGCCATAGGAATGTGGAATTTCTATCACGAGCTCAGTCTTCACGTTGGGCGGCATCTAAAGCCCTTCATCTGCTGAGCTCTCACATCCAGGCCAAACGACCAGATGAATTGTGATGGAAATAGGGTCATTGCTCGAAACGTCGGTTGTATTTTGGATTAAATCGTCCATGAAAAACAGTGAAACTAGCATGTGATGTCATCAGTTTTAGCAAAAATGCGTACAGTACAACATTTGCTCATACAATACAGCGAAAACATTTTGCATCGAATTCTTAATTAAAATTGTGCACGTGTTAGCAGATTACACGTGAAGGTCTTGCAGATTTGAGGGTTTCATAAGGGGATAATGCAGCCTTTGGAAACTTGTAGAAGCGTTTGTCGTTATCTTTAGAGGTGTATTTTGACTTCAAAGGGACTTTTTCGTGCTTTTTTCTACCCAGTCCTTACCGGCTGTTACTGTACAGGACTGTTTAGCGATAAACTGCGGGGAAAATACTTAAGATGTCTAAGAGAACCAGTCATTGTAGTTAATGGTGTCATACTTCCTTTTGCATTTGACTGTCAGATCTCGACAGGACTTCTTTTGTAAAATACTGTATACAGTATATATGTTTTTGCCCAATATTATGAAGACCATTGTGATGCAATCGTGGTAGTAGGTTGCTATAGTGAACCCTAATCGCATTATCACTCTAAGTAGTTATCACATTTTGGGCAGGTCTGCTTACCAACCCGAACTGACCAGCGCAGTGACATATTGCCACATTTCTATTTCCCCCAAATGGACATTGATCCTAAACCGCTGCCCCCACTCGCCAACAGCTCTGGTTCCACCAGCCATCAGGTGAAGGAGCAAAGGGTGTCGAGTAAGAATCACTGGGGTATGCACAGGTGGCCTTCTTACACGTGACATGTGTAAACAGGAAGGTTTTTATTGCCCTGCTGACGTGGGGGGTGGGGGGGTGCCCAGTGACTGATTGAAAGACCGCTGGGCTTGATGTAAGTGTATATCTGTATGTTGAACTCATATTCTTGGTTCTTTCGGTAAAGTCACGTGACTTTACCGAAAGAACCAAGAATATGAATCCCTGCAGTCACGAAAGCTTTAAATACAAATTTATGTTGACCTTCTTTCGCACCGTACGTAGACAACCGTGCAAATCGGATGTGCGAGGGAAGGACAACAAACTAAACACAAAAAGCAGTTTTAAAGAAATTAGTTTTCAATCGAGATTTAAAAGTGGACAGCTCCGGTGGCTTCCTAACATCGGAAGGAAGATCATTCCAGACGGCCGCAGAAACTCATCCAAAAGCACGCGATGCAGTGACCGACCGCCTTCGATGGCTAGCCAAACGCCGCTGCTGCAAGGATGTGCACACTTGCGACATTTGCACCGCCTCTAAACTGTTTCCGCTGCATGAAGGCCTCCTCCACTCCATGTCGGTTGTGGCCGTTGTTTGACAATATCTCAAGCTGATCAGTGCGAGTTGGCGAAGCGGGGGTCCAGAAATGGTTCAGATGTCACTTGTCGTGTTAGCCATGGCCAGGAATCAAACTCAGATTATGGGGTTCTAGAGTTGCCACCTGTCCGGGTTTGATCCAGACAGTTTGGGAATTGGCATCTGTATACATGTAGGCTTTCGCGACCAATATCATCCATAATAAAGGAGTTTTTTTGGGGTTAGATTGCGTAAATATATAAATGTGTCGTTAAAACCCGCCACCACCCGACACAGCCAACTAGTAAGGGTTGTCACGTAAACAGAACATGCCAATTCGTCACTAGTACAGCACACCGGTGTGTTGGAGAGCCAAGCTACAACATTTAAATGTCACAACATTTACGTGACAACCCTTACTAGTTGGCTGTGTCGGGTGGTAGCAGGTTTGAACGACACATTTATATATTTACGTGATCTAACCCAAAAAAAACTCCTCTTATGAATTGGCATCTATGTTTGGGTGGCAGGGATTGATTTCAATTGAGATCTGGTGGTAGTGGCTTGCAATTATGTTTTACAATATACTGTACTAGACAGTTTTGATAGACCTCATACCTGTCAACCCCTGATCAGCACCCCCTACCTTATTTCAGACAAAGTCAGACCTTATTGGTCACCCTGTGCCCTTATAAATCTCAACGTTCATCCTACAAAGTCCCATCACAAGGGAAAAACACAAACAAATAGAATAACAAATTTCCCGTATTGAAACGACTGTACACCATATGGACCTGAAAACTCAATTTCCCTGGACAAGACTACGGGTAAACCGTATGGGTTGACAGGCATGAGACCTAGACCGACTGAGACATGCCTTGGGTTGGTCTGTGAGAAAGGTGGCAACACTGCCAGCTTCACGGCACAGTGTGTGCACCACTGTGCCACCTCTATTAAACTGTTTCTACCCTTAAACTAATTAGTTGGTGATACTGCGTTGCAGAGGTCGCAAACGGGGTTTGATTCCTTACCCGTACCCGTACCCGGCCGCACCAGGGTCGCAAACGGGTACCCGTACCCGTACCCGGCCGGGTACGGGTACCCGTACGCTACCCATACCCTACCCGAAATGAGTGACAAACGGTTACTCATCGGTGACTCACGGCCTACCCGTACCCGGCCGCACCAGGGTCGCAAATGGGTACCCGTACCCGTACCCGGCCGGGTACGGGTAGCCGGGTATCGGGTAGGGTACGGGTATCGGGTACCCGGTTGCGACCTCTGCAGCGTTGGCAGTGGTGCTCAACCACAAATAGCAAAAACACCCAACACATTTGTCAATAACACTTTCTTAAAATGCATAATATATGTTATTGGTTCTTTCGGTAAAGTCACGTAGAAGGGAAACAATAACATTTTCTTGCTGTGGTTTTCACACCTGATGATGATTGCTTGTGTAGCAATCGAAACGTCGTGAGAATTTTATTGTTTTATACTTTTATTATTTTATTGTTTCCCTTCTACGTGACTTTACCGAAAGAACCAAGAATATGAATCCCTGCAGTCACGAAAGCTTTAAATCAAAATGTATAATATATGTTTTAAATATATTTTACAATTTCGGGCAATGACCCTTCATTGCAACCCTTGTCTCTACACAAGTTGCTTACAAGAACCCTGATGCCCATGCTTGGTGTAAACCATTACGTAGTAGATTATCCCTATGTTGTGTACACAGCGATGTTTACAAAACACACTTTGGTATGAGGACCAGTCTCCCCTTAGGGTCACACGCTTACATGTGTAATGCAGGCGTAAACGACCTCCCGGAGGTGACGTCATGAGGGGAGGAGTTAAGTCACGTGGGAGAGAGGGGTCAGGTCTATAGAGGGAGAGAAACCGGAAGAGGAGGGGGAGTGACGGGAGACTAGGAACGAGTGAGGCCACGTAGGGCGACAGTGGAGGGTGGCGAGATCGCCACGGACACGGGGAACGAGGTTCGGCACCATCGGCCAACGGTGACCGACCTGGAGCAGCGAGGAGGCTGCAGCTGGCAGCGGGGGTCTGCATACGGAGTTGGCAGCGGGGGTCTGCATACGGAGTTGGCAGCGAGTCTGCATACGGAGTTAGCAGCGGGGGTCTGCACACGGAGTTAGCAGCGAGTCTGCAAGGAGAGGAAGGAGGCTACAATAGTGATAGCAGCCGGGGGCTGCAAGCAGAGTGTCTCTAAGAGAGTGCCGTGAGGGAAAAGACAAGAACCCAAATAAAGGACACGGAGTCAGAGAGAAGCGTCCGAGTCTTTTATTACACTGGAGTCAGAAGTGTAACGGCATGGCGAAACAACTGAGAAAAAAGAATATTCCGTCTCCGGCATCGGCTTCATCTTCCGACAACGATGATCTTCCTCCTGAAGTCGACCTGACTCTGGCAGAGGAAGAGATCCGTGCTGGGACGAGTGCGGGTCCGGGAGTCCAAGAGGTCGCCGTGTCGGCGGACCCGTCTGCTCCAAAGGACGCGGATTCAAGATGGACCCAGATGGCGGAGCAACTTGTAACTCTTAAGAACGTCATTACACAGTTGTGTGACCTTGTCACGCCGAGGGCGGCGTCGGAAGGAGATGTTGGTGGTCCGCAGGAGCCCGGGTTGTCTTCGATGTCGCCGCCATCGGCCACGCGGCACGAAGACGCCATCTTGGGCGTGGCGCACGACGAAAAGCGGGAAGCCGCCATTTTGGGATCGCCGCGACGGTCAGCCGCCATCTTGTCGACACCGCGTTGCGACGCCATGTTGAATTTGCCACCGGAGGAGTCAGCGGCTGAAGGAAGCAAGCCAAGGAGTCGCAGTCGTCACCTAACAACTGTCAAGGAATTCTCCATCGGGGGCGATTGGAGTGCGTTCGCCTGTAGATTTC